AATTTATTGGCAAAGTAATCAAAATGAAAAATTACTTAATATAGATTTATCTATTTTAAAAATACTTTCTATAATATTAGGTTTAAACTTCTAACTTTGAAGCACCTGCCTAAGCCTTTTTTTAGATATTGATCACTCTATTGAATGTTTTTCTTACAACTTTGCGTCTTCATTCTTAAATTCATTTTCAGAGTCATCATAAGTACTAGTAACTAACATAGTGTGTCTACCTAGGGCTATTAAACCTCCATCAGCTTTATTATGCACATCTACAGTCGTGAATATAAGTGTTTTACCAAGTTTTACACATTCAGCATTCTAAAAATGATGTTTAAGAATGATAACGGTAAAAAATTATTAATTAATTATGCGAAAAAGTTTTCCAGGAAGAAAAAATTTTTTTACCACAAATATAGTATCGCCATATCCTACTGATGTGATATATGAAACATTTATATCCGTACTAACTCGTGTAAGACGCACTCCTTTGGTTGATACTGCTAACGATCCACAAAATCGACTAATGATGCTATCACTCCTCCATGAATTGACTTGTTGAGATTCTATTATATTTATATTAAGTATTCTTAATCGAATTGATTACATTTATTTGAACTTTAAGGATTTTAAAATAAAAGCTTCATATACCAGATGATTTTCTTGAATAGGTATTTCGAAACTAATTTTACCAGCATTTGTATCTGTTATTTTCATCTATAAATATATATTTTTTTTTATTAAAAATAGTACGGATGTATTTATTAAATATAAATTCATTCACTATTTTCATTATTAATATTGGTTCAAAAAAAATACTAAACATCTTTCGCAATAAAATTCTCAAAAGTTGCATCACCCTCAAGAAATTGTTGAAGCATTTTGCGAGCCAAAATCGTTCTACTAATTTTTTTTTCTGATGCCATAATCTAAAGGAAGGGAAGGTTTGTAAATAATTTAGTATTAGGAAAACAAATGTCCGGAGCTAAACTTAAATTGATGATCAAACTACAGCACCGGTACCACCAAAATGCTAATAAAAATTTGAATTACGTCTTGGTGTAACGTCACACGATCAAAAATCTCTGCCTAAGAAATAAATAAATTCCTTGGGCAATTTTATTGTATATCTAACCTCACTAACCGTTATACTAACATAAACGAACTCTAAAAAATTTGGCCGTGTTACGTGATCGAAAAATTCAAAAATAGGTGTGAATAAAATCACATAAAACCTTGTCTATCACTACATATACCGTAATGCACTGACTATAAGTAGTCACAGGTAAGCCATAGTGGCTTGCCACTCATAAATTAGTTAACAAAAATAATAAATGGTTGATGTTAATAAGGCAGTATATCCCTTTAGACATCAATTTTGTACATACGAACATTTAATTTCATACAACATGACATTCAATTTTGTACAAAGTAACAATTAATTTCGTACAAAGTAACATTTAAATTTGTACAAAGCAACAAATCCGTACAAAATGACAATTAAAATAAATTTAATTAAGTCGCGATATTTCGTGATCTAGCAATCCAATATAGGTGATTTTGGTACCATTAGAATCGTCTTATTGAATGGTGTCAAAATCACCTATATTGGATCACTACATCATGAGATATCACGATTTAATCAAACTTATTTTAATTGTTATTTTGTACAGATTTGAATATTGCTTTGTACAAATTTAAAGGTCACTTTGTACAAATTTAATGTCAGTTTGTACAAAATTAAATGTCCTTTTGTACAAAATTGATGTCAAAAGGGATATATAATATATATAAAATATATGTTATGGGTTAGTGGCATGCCAGAGTGGCAACTTGGCATGAATTTAATGCCAAAATTTTTTAAGCATGCCAGGTACTCTAACCCAGGGTACTATTCAATAAACCATCACAATTCTTGAATAGTACCCCGGATACTAATTACGGGGGAGAGTATTATGATAAGGGATACTTACATAGTTTTAATATTATTTTATAAGGATCTCGAATCACATATATACTGAGTTGGTTAAAAGTCCCTAAATAGGATCATCTTTTGCTACCTTTGCTAATATTAAACGTTGTTTACAAATTTATAAACCCAAATAAATAAAAAGTTCTCAGATAGGATCCTTCTGTTAATCACTAAATGACATATTATAAATACAATGTAAATTTATAAAAAACTTTTATTATTAGTAGAGATAGCAAAAAGATCTGTTTAGGGACTTTTAACGAACCTGGTATATATCAAGAATAGTACCCAGGTCTTTTCAATTTTCTGAATCATGAATCACACCCAGGTTTTTTTCATGGGGATATTATAGCAGGGGTACTGTAGTCAGTGCCATACGATAAATTGTTCTCCAATATAGGGTTCAAAGGGTCATGCATGCCCACTGAGCCACCTGGGCCAGGATGAGTTGCTACCGCGGGTCAGAAACATTTGATTAGCTAAAAAGTTGAGATTATCATTAAATTGGCATTTTTATTTTTTTTGCTTTGTATATATATTTTATTCATGTTAGAGATTTGTTTGTCTATTGTCATCTTGCTTGAACCAGGTATGTACAGTGTTTAATATTTTTGTTTTGTTATTACAGAAACAGAATTTGTCACTAATCAAGAATCATATTGAGAAGTAATTTCAATAAATAGAGATTAGGGCTCATTTCTACTACATAGCTTAAGCTATAGGAGTGATGTATATTGTAATATATTGTGATGACTAGGAAATGGTGACTCAGTTGCTCCACAATCCAGAAACTCATGTAACCTGTGGTCAGTAACCTTACAAAAGAGGTGTGTTAGATTTGGCTGGTGAGTGATTAAGACTTTGGCTACTTCGTTCAGTAATGCTAGATCACGTGACAAATAGCTTAACAAATGACAACTTTATGACTTAAGGTTTTAGAGGGGTATATAAGTATGATAGTACTCTTATGTAATGTTTTGAGCGATGTATTTAATAAACTTCAAACTTAATTATTAGTAAAGCAAATGAGAAAAACTAATTTCTCTTGGGGGCAAAAATGTCTTTATTTATAATAAACTTTTACTTAGTACTTATTAAAATTATTATATCTCATATAAAGTGATTAAATGGATTATAACAAATAAAACCATTATATTCCTTATAACTATTATATTGGATTTATTTATTATCTTGAATTCATCTAATTCTTTAATATATTCAATATATTGCTGGCAACTTTATTTTAGATAAGAGATCATCATAATCAGAGTAATGGGAGCTGGCATAGTAGCTTTCAAGTTACAATTTCTGGGCTTCAAAATATTTATTATTGTGGTGGCTAATGCTGAAATTGGATTATGCTAAAATTTTTCATATTTTATTATGAAATTGTAGAATTTTTTAGAGTCTTTTTTGTAGTCATTTTTTTTAGAGTTAGATTAGGGTTAGAGGGTAGTTTTATTAATTAAAAAGTATATATAGATTTTAGTAGGTATTATAGTTTTAAAAAAAGACCCCAGAGTTCAGCAACAGCCAATTTCAGCATCATTCCCTACAATTATTATTATAGCAAGAAGTTAGTTTACCAGTTTAACAAGTATGAATACTAAAAATATATACTTTTATATGTAAAGACCTGGCTTTATTAAAGCTTGAAGTAACTTGTATCTAATTTTGAATAAGATCTTACTCAAAAGATATGTAAAGCAAATCAGAGAAGCCCTAATATCAATATGCTAGAAATGATTATATCCATAAAAGAAAAAAAATTAGAACTCAGTTTTCAGACTCAGAAAAAGATTAAAAAATTAAAGAATAATATATATACAGTATAATAAAGAGTAATAAAATTTTTTCAAATATTTATGAC